AGATTTTTACACTTTTGCCCATACAGCCTTTATTTATTGACATGTATTTCATATTTGGTTGGAAGATAACTTACATGATATTCTTCTTTTGGATAGAGTTAGGGGTCAGTTTGGTTAAGGTCACCAGTGCTAAAAATAGATTTTTACACTTTTGCCCATACAGCCTTTATTTAATGACAGATGTAGAAGATAACTTGCATGAAGTTGAATATTTTTCAACTTCAAAAGTCAGAGCAATGACTTGGCAACTTATATTTTTCACAATTACAAAATGCCATGACTTTGTCAAGCTATATAACTTGTGTTAACAATTTTTTGGCAATTTTTCTGTCCATAACTGAGTGAATGGGTAAACATTTTTTGAAATATTGCTACTGACAAGAATCTGAGCCGGGGGCATTTGTGTTTAACAAACACGTTCTTGTTTTAGATAGCAGATAATAAAATATTCTAGAACAAAATATAATTATTCATTGAATAAATGTTCATACTAGATCCTTTAGAACTTTATGGAATATTTTATAAGAATATCCAAATACATTTATTTTGTTTTTATCAATATGGAAAATGTGCCAATCTACTTCAATATGTTGATGCACCTTGAATAGTTCTACAAGTCACCCCAAATTTCAGGTCAACGGTCAGTGTCCCTGTGACATTAAACATTAGTCATTAGATTAAAGTGCATTGACCAGGGAACTTCAAACTGTATTTATAGCTACGCCTAGACAAGTTCTGCCCAACGTATTTATTGTCAAAGGTCACTGACGCCAACAGGTCATTTCATCAAAGTGTTTTTATGCTCCCCGAAAAATTTCGGGGGAGCAGTCGGCTCCTTGTCCGTCCGTTTGTCCGAGCAAACATTTTGGGTTTAGGGGCTATATAACGGTAAAGAGAACAATAAGTTTATTCCGTGATCAAAGGGTTTATGGGCTAGTAGCCCCTAAACAGACAAAAGAAATAACAAAGAAGATAGCCCCTAAACCCAAAATGTTGGAGTGTCCGTCTGTATGTACGTCCAATGTCTTGTCCGGAGCATAACTTGAAAACCCTTGGAGATAATTTGTTTAAACTTCATACAGTGGTAGAGGGCATTGAGGGGGAGTGCAGTGTAAAAGAACCATAACTCTATTTTGCCCGGTTTTTGAATTATGTCCCCTTATAGAAAAATCTTGTTCAGGACATGACTCTAAAACTATAAGAGATATCAACATGAAACTTTGTAGGTGAATAGATCTCAATGGGTAGATGTGCAGTGCATAAGAACAATAACTCTTTTTTTCCCTAATTTTGGAGTTATTGCCCTTTGTTAATTTTAACACTGTGAAAACTTTGTCCGGAACATAACTCAAAAATTATAAGAGATACCAAGATGAAACATTGTAGGTAGATAGATCTCATTGAGTAGAAACGCAGTGCAAAAGAACCATAACTCTGTTTAGCCTAATTTTTGAATTATCTCCCCTTTTAGAAAAATCTTGTCCAGGACATAGCTGTAAAACTATAAGAGATATCAACATGAAACTTTGTAGGTAGATATATCTCAATGGGTAGATGGGCAGTGCACAAGAATCATAACTCTGCCTTGCCTAATTCTGGAGTTATTGCCCTTTGTTTATTTTTACTTTTTGAACTTTGTCTGGGAAATTACTCTAAAATTATAAGATATATCAACATGAAACTTTGTTGGTAGATTGATCTCATTGAGTAAAAGTGCAGTACAAAAAAAACATAACTCTGTTTTGCCCAATTTTTTAATTATCTCCCCTTTTAAAAAAATCTTGTCCGGGAAATAACTCTTAAACTACAAGAGATATCAACATGAAACTTTGTAGGTAGATGGATCTCAATGGGTAGATGTGCAGTGCCTATAACTTGAACTCTGCCTTGCCAAATTTTGTAGAAATTGCCCTTTGTTCATTTTTACATTTTGAAATTGTCCGTGACATAACTTGGAAACTATAAGAGATATCAACAAGAAACTTTATAGGTTGATAGATCGCATTGATTAGAAGTGCAGTGCAAAGAACAGTTACTTTGCCTACTAAAAAACCCTAAGAGCTAGAGCTAAAATATTTAGCTAGAAACATCTTCTAATGGGTGTCTACCAAGTTTGTTCAAATAAGGGCCCTGGGGTTTAAATTTGGCCCCGCCCCGGAGTCATTGATTTTCCTTATATGTTTATAGTAAAAAACTAAAAAAAAATTTCTTTAAAACAACCCAAAGAGCTAGAGTTAAGATACTGAGCATGAAATAACTTCTAGTGAGTGTCTACCAAGTTTGTTCAAATAAAAGCCCTGGGTCAAAATTGGTCCCGTCCGGGGCGGCGGGTCTTTGTTTTTCCCTACATGTGTATAGTAAAAGCTTAAAAATCTTCTTTTAAAAACTCAAAAGAGCTAGAGCTTAGATATTTATCATGAAACATGTTCTAACTGGTGTCTACAAAGTTTTATTTTTAAAAAAATCCTGGGTCAAAATTGGCCCCGCCCGGGGCCTATATACAGGTAAGCGATTTCTGGTCCATCATGGCCCTCTCGTACTCTATTATGCATTTCTATGTATCTATCTTCCATTATACCCCTCGCGGGGACGTAGATATGACTCTAGACAAGACTAAGTCACTTCAGAGAAAGCTATGAGATACAAGGGAGTTCGGGAACCAGTCCCTAGCTCTTATTGAAAAGAACCCCTTGGCTCTTTCAATGACAAGTGTTATTAACTTATTTGTTTGATAACTCATTTCTGACTGTTTAAGAATAGATACAGGTAAACTATTACTATTGCCATTTAAGATCGCTTTAATATGATAATTTTATGTCTTTTAAGAAATAAGTAATACTAATCTAACAAGAGCTATGTTAGCATGGCCATCCCCCGCCGAATGTGTTTGCTCATTGGAAGAATGTATATGCAGTAGAGCAGAATAATTCAATTTAAAGTGGTCTTTTGGTAATGGAAACGATTACAGATTTGAAACCCAAGTGAATACTGATGACTAAAAATAATGCAGGTAGGTTATCATTCTTGTGTGCTGCACACCTCCTAAATGAAATCTATCCACCTATGAAGTTTCAAGTTGATACCTCTTAAAATTTTTAAGACAAGCTCTAGGCAAAATGTATGAAATAAAGGGCAATAACTCAAAATTATAAAGGGAAGAGCTATCATTCTTGCGCACAGCTTTCCTCTTAAATAAGATTTATCCACCTATGACGTTTCATGATGATATCTCAAACACTTTTGAGTTATGCTCCACTCAGGCGAAAAATTAAGTATGAAAAATAACAAAGGGCAATAACTCAAAAATTATGAAAGTTAGAGTTATCATTTTTGTGCACTGCACATCTCCTGAGTGAGATCTATGCACCTATGAAGTTTCATATTGATATCTCAAAGGCTTTTAGAGTTATGCGCTGGACAAAAATTAATTTTGAAAAATAACAAAGGGAAATAACTCAAAAATTATGCAGTTAGAGTTGCACTGCACTCCTCCTCAATGAGATCTATCCACCTATGAAGTTTCAAGCTGATACCTCAAATATTTTTTGAGATATGCTCTGGACAAAAATGTCGGACGGAAGGACGGAAGTTCTAACGGGACAGTACTAATGTGACTACTTTATTGTTCTTTTATCCACACAAAAGAAAATAGCCACATAAATGCATTACGGAATGAATGACATCAAAGAGAAAGAACAGTTACCTATTGTCCCTCTAGCCACATTATTACTGTCCCATGAGAGCGGACGGACGGAAGGAAGGACGGACGGACGGACGGATGAAGGCTATTTCTATATCCTCCACCGCCTTTCGGCGGGGGATAATAATTCGTTCATTTATTTTTTTATTATAATTATTAAGCTATAAATATTTTCACTGTAAAAATTTATTTCAAAATATATATGTGGTACATAACCTCCAAAAATGGTACGAAACCTCGTGGTACTTTTCCTCCATGGTAAGTGACCTCCAGTATTCAATAGCACTGATACATGCGAGGACCACCTGAATTTCTTACCAGTACACCTCGGTGGGAAACACTGAAAGTGTCCCTGAAAATTCCCAAGGGTGTTACCCAGTATCGAACCCGGAAACTTAAGGAGTGACAGCCAGGGGTCTAACCAAATGAGCTATCTAACACAGAAAAATGCAGTATGCTGCCCATGGACAACTCTTAACGTTTGAAACTGTAATTGACCCAACATCGATATTGATAAAATATTAAAGTGCCTCACAAATAAAAAAGCTGTTCCGCTCTATTAATTGAACGTTACAGATTCATTTCGATGATTATTTACAGACATTTCCTTGAGACACTTGTTATTTATCGTTCAGAAATGTAAATTTGAAAGGTATGACTTGTGTTGGCTTTCACCTGTTCATTAAGTTCCCGTACTTTTAAAAGCAATGTCCCTTGGTGATTCTGAGATGGTCTTCCAATGTAGTGTTTCTGTAAATATAATCATGCACAGTCGTTATATTGTTTAAGGTAAAGGTATAGTTAAATATGAAGACGAGTGCCAAATCGAAAAGATTTAGTGAAATCCAGTGTAAGGGGGGAAACTTAAAAAAAAAATCACAATTATAGGTGGTGGCCGAATTGCCTCCCATACCGTTAAGTAATTATAATTTGAACCAATTAATGGCTTTGTCCTCTGTCCCCTTTTGATCTCAAATTGCTTGCGCATGCTTGTTTAAATATTTATAAACATGTCTGCGTGTTGGACTCACAGGCGTGTTTGGTTGGGGTGTCGTGGGCGTGTTAGTCGGGGTCTGTGAGTGACATACACTACTACAGATAATTCTGTTTGCAGGCATTTAGGGAGACGCATGCCGGTCACACCTAACTAAATTAGACCCTGTTACCTATCGGGGTGGGGGTGGGGGGTGGGAGTTTGCATAACAACAATTTTGCTTGATTTTTTTTTCAGCAGAAAACTGTTTCTTAAACATAGGTTCGATTGAGTCTTTCATTAGGTAGATGAACAATATTTTCTTACATATATTTAAACTTTCAAAATCTGTGTTTGTTTGGTCAAAATCCCTTAGTTTTGTTTCTGCAGTTGCCACGAAAAGTGTATCATTTTAATGTAGAAAACTGTTTATAGACAGACAAATCATTTTATTAAAACCGAATAAAGAAAATTTTCTAACAATTTAACGGTGTATTTTTTTCATAAATAATCATCAAATTATTTTATACAACCTCTCATGTTTAGAACACTAGCATATTGCTTATTGACACAACAAGACCTCAGATGTTTCAATCAGATCGATTACATAAGAAAAGTTTTTAACAATAAAACAAATCATGCCTAAGCTTCATTGGCATGTCATAAGAGATGAAAAACTATCCAGATAGAGTGTTGAAGTAATAGCACACACTTATACCAACTAAATGTATAATGTTATTTGGAATGCTTCATGTAAGCCAAAAACATCCGTTAACTTCATAAGCTCCGAAAACCACATCTTTTTCCGGGTCCTTTAGACACGCCTTTGACATATGCATCGGTACTTCAAAGAACAAGACGAAGCTTTTCGAACACGTGACGTGAACGTGGCTTCTCTACAAGACCGCTGATATCCATGACAATGGGTTTCTCGCTGTTTGTTTGCTCCAGTTATGTAGTAACACTCATTTTGAAGCTGACCCTGTGGAAAAGGAAGACACAATTGTATTAACAATTTCTTTTTTATGGTTATCCTGAATTATCAGTGTAAAGGCAATGTAAATGGTATAGGCAGTAATATGCTAACATGTTCTATATACGATATCTCCCGCCTTGTATCTTCTCTTGACGCAAAAGTCAATTTGTTTTGTCTTGATATACCTGGATATTGTTCCGAATTCAAATCAGGGCAAATGCATTAATACAATATTATCAGGTTAAGGGTGCAACGGGAAAATTCAAGAAAAATATTTACCGTCTTTTTAATCCAGTAGTTTTCAGAAGCTTCGGTCAGTTTGTTCTTCTCTAGCCAAAGTTCAGCATCTTTATCTAACACAGCAACATGAGACTTTGGTGTGAGAAGGTTGCAGAAGTCATTGCAGCAGCCATGATTCATCTTTGCATTCCGGATAAAGTAAACAGGTCTACCGGCCCCCGGTGTTATCCACTTGTTTGAGGCGGATTCTGGTCAATTGAAGATAAGCACAAACCTTTTTATATGGGTGTCGTAATAAACAGTTTATGACTTAGTACTAAACTAAGAAAATGAAGAAGCCGATGGGAAAAATAATGTGTGATTAACTTTCTATAGAGCAACACACTTTTCAAGACAAAGTTTTGGTTGCTGTTGAGAGGTACTGCTCTACAAAGGTTACTTTATTGTAAAGTCATACTTTGGGAATAATGACACCATTGTTGTAAAGAATTCATTGCTTACTGTAGAATAAGTACTGTATACTGTTACATGAACTTTTAAGCAAAATCTAAGACATTTTTTAGACGTTACATGCTTTTATTTCTTGTTTGCGTCTGCGAGAAAAATACATTATCGGATATTTTTTAAGGTTTTCAACTTTCTAACAGTTTAATTTAAGGCCCGATCACACCGCAAGAACTTTGCTTGAGCGTTCCTTGAACGGTAGGGAGAGGGTACGGAATTTCGACAACGCTCGTCACCGCACACAAAATTGAAAAAAAAAAAAAATCGAAAACACGGGCGTTGTTTTAGTGGTGCACATCTGAAGCTGGCGTTGCAATAGCGTTGGCTTAACGTAGCGCGTATTGGTTTAGCGGTGACCCGAGCGTTGATAGAGCGGTGTTCTGCGCACGCGGGCGTTGGTTCGGCGGGGTTTTTAAGTTGGTTTTGCCGCTTTTGACTACGGAGCTGAACGGATCGCTTTGATCATTCCTCAGCTCTACCATCAGCTTGTCGTACAGTCCATGTTCAGGCCTTCTGAGTATCCACTGTCTGACCCTCACAACTCTGTCTCTCTTCTCTCTCAACAGCCTTGTTGCAATCTGAGGAGGTTCTGATTCTACTGCTGGACTAGTGTACCAATCATAGCAAGTCTCTCAGCATCCATGATAGTACAGTCTTACTGTAACTTTGAGCAAATTCGATGTAAATGAGGTCTGCACTCAACGACAGCTCGATTCCAAATGGGCTCTTGGTCCATTTCTCTCCGTAATTACAGCTAAATTTTGGTCCCGCTCCGACACCTCCTTACTAACGCCAAACCAAAGTTCATCACCGCAATAGATCGCTGCTTCAACGCCCAACATCGTTCCAGCAATCCCGCTCGTAAAAAGCTTACAACCGCTCCACCATAGTTTGTGCAACGTTTATTCACCGCTCGTGCAAAGCTGGCGAAGCAGAGGTAGTCCAGCGTTCAAGATTTCTGCGTTAGCCTAGCGGTACTTGCATCTAGCGGTACCAAACTTTGACTGGGCGTTGTTGGAGCGGTTGTGAACTTAGCCGGAGCGGAAAATTTGCCGCTTCTCAACGATCGCAATATTTTGTGCAGCTCAAAACTTTTGGAGCGGTTGGAGGAATCTTCAGCGGTAACCGAGCGTATACGGCGTTGCTGTAACGGAGGCCAACTTCTGGTGAACGGTAACGAGCGGTGATGAATTCTTTTCACCGCTTCAAGAACGCTCCAGCAAAGTTCTTGCGGTGTGACCGGGCCTTTAAAAGATATAGGAAGTATTCATAAAAACAAATATATATTATTTTGATAATTGATACATATGGTGGCTGATTTACGCCATGCCTCAAAATGCGAAAACACGAAGGGACGACCAAGTTGGATACATCTGTAAAACTGGATAATAAATTGATTACTGGATACCAATCAATATTCCACCAAGTAATACGTACCGGCAGATCCGTAAACAGACATTCGCTCATCGCCTCCACAATATTCGTTCACATTTCCGGGACATGTGATATTGCATTCTGATTTCAAAGCTTTATAATGAAGAAGAGTGTTGGTGCAAAAACATCTTTCCCTCCACTTTTGTTTTGTAACAAATATAAACGCTCATGATTAAATCAAAATATTACATTAAATTGCAATTTGTGAAAATGTTGTTGTACAATATAAACAAACAAATAATAAATAAATAAATAAATAAATGAATGGGTGAATGAATAAATAAATAATGAATAAATGTATGAATAAATAAATAAATAAATAACTGAATGAACGAACGAACAAACGAACGAACGAACGAACGAACGAACGAACGAACGAAAGAATGAATTCTATTTTGCGTTATACATGTATATATATAAAAAAAATGAGTCAACGAGTGAGCAAGCAAGCAAGTAAATAAAATAAAATATAATAAATAAATAAAAAATAGATAAATAAATAAATCAATAAATAATTAAGTAAATAGATGAATAAATAAATAAATAAATAAATAAATAAATAAATAAATAAATAATGAATGAATGAATGAATGAATAAAAAATGAATGAATGAATAAAAAAATGAGTGAGCAAGCAAGCAAGTAAATGAAATAAATCAATAAATGTGAATAAAGAAATAAATTAATTAGATAATTCAAAAAGTAAATACAAAATTAGTTAAATTGCATATTTTATGAATTCGATCTCTTCTTTATTTTAACAATAGTAATTGCATTTTATAGTCTAAGTTTCATGCTTACGCACGTTCACCGACTTTACAGCTATTACCCCTGTTCATCGGGCTACTGGTATCTATCTATCAATCTCCCTGGGGAGTCTTTTAACTCCGCTTAGTGCAGCCGACAATTTGGCGCAACGGAATTATACCACCCTCGCAGGTACCCATTTACACCTGGGTGAAGTGAAGCAATCGCAGGTAAATTTCTTGCTCAAGGAAATTAGCAGTGCCCCTGGTGGGGTTCGAATCCGGGACCTCTCGATCCCTAAGCGCGCGTCCTACCACTGGACTACTGCTCCAATACAGTACACAAACAATTTAAAACCTGTAAGAAAACTTAAATCTTGCACAGCTATGTTTTGCTGAATTCTTGTCATGCGAAATATGCACAAGAATAGGCAAATGTGACAGGGTTCAGTAAAAGTAAAATAAGTTATTTACTGTTACACCGTATATGTATCCCTTTAGCTTATACCCCGGTCACATATTCACGGAATACGCCCACGGAAGAGCCACGGATTAATTCCGGCATCGTCCGTAGCTACCCGTACTGGTCAGTAGCTCTCCGTATTGTAACCGTAATCAATCGTAGTAGTCCTTGTATATCCGTAGCGATCCTTGACAATTTTTGAACATGCACAAAAATTTGCTACGGAAAAATCAACCGTAGCGTATCCCTACTAGTCCGTATTAATCCGTACTGATACGTACTGGTCCGTACGAAAACCGTAATAGTCCGTGCTGATTCGTAGTCCACCAACTTGTCAAGGATTTCCACGGTTTGGTACGGAGAACTACGTATTTGTACGGTTACCCTACGCATAAGCTACGGTTTTAATACGGATTAATACGGCATTGTCACGGAAGGCCACGATCGTAATACGTTGTACTACGGAGAGGCAAGGATTAGCACGGTCTTATACGGTTTATTGCGTTGCAACACGAAACGGTACGGAATGGTACGGCCCACCACTGTTTAGTACGGATGAATTAAGTATCATGTACTTTTTCAAGGGTATAAGTACTAGATACATACTTGTTAAAAACAGACATATTTGCAGGAACATTTAATAAATAATAACTGCCATTTACTGGCTGCAACCTTATATTGAAATGGCTCAGAATGCGGAGGCAGTGGTCGAGCTGCTTGACATGCATAGAAGTAAATTTATATTAATATCGTACTACAATTCATAAGAAATAGAATAACATTTAATGTTACATATTTTACAAACATTGGATCGTGAAAATGGAGTAAATATGTACATAAAACGAAGTGTCTAATAAGCCTCGGACATTGGCCCGTGAGTGATAATAAGATTAATTAACAAGCTTTTTACATATTTTAAAAGCATAAACATCACGATCATTAATGTAATTTTAAAATGAACAGCAAATCTTAAAATTAAAAGAGAAGCAGTATTGATCAACATTTTTCATTAATGATTACTAGTCCATATCTAATCAGGTAAGAGAAGACAGACGAGATGGTGGACTAGAGATTGGCTTTTACGAAGACCGCTTCATGTTTAGTATGAGGCTCTCATGGCCGAACTTGTTGAGGATCCAGCGTCCTTCAAAAAATTCACTTGATGTGTCTCGGGGTTCGGACGCGATTAGGCTGAATCCTCTCCGCCAAAACCATTGAACGATACAATTCGTTTTCTAAGTGTTCTTTTCTTTTGAGGCATTTTGAAAATAAGCAAACAAGAGGTTGTGGACGGATGTATTAGGTCCGTATAGATCCGTGGCAATTCGTTCTTCTCCGTATCAATACGTTCTTCTCCGTATCAGACCGTACTTATTCGTACCAACCCGTGCTTATACCGTAGCAGACCGTAGTGTATCCGTAGTGCGTCCGTCCTGATTCGTGTCGCTCCGTATCAAACCGTGTCGGTCCGTAACAATCCGTGTCTCTCCGGGGGCTTTTGGTGGTAAATCCGTCGGACTTCGTACTCATACCGTTGTGTGTCCGTACTGGAACCGTAGCGGACTACGGAATTTCACATTTCCGTAGTAATCCGTGAACGATTAGACCGTAGCTCTTCCG